GTGTTATCCCAATCCCCAAAGAACATGCTGGTGCTTATGATGGGACAGTTAACAGGGAAAGCAAATGTATTAGATTTCTGTAGTGATTGACTTTTGGCTGTTGGCAGCAATAGCTGTGGTGCATATAATGTATATACATGCAGGGCTATTTTGGGGCAGGAACGCACAGGAACAGAGTTCCGGCTGGCTCCCGAGGTGGCCACGCCCAGAAGGAACTCATTAGCATAACAGGCCACACCCAACAGCAGAAACTCATTAGGATTGGCTACATTAGGGGGGTGTGGCCTAACATGCAAAGGAGTGCTACAAAAAAAGGCCCTGGGTTTTGACAACAAACAAGGTAAACAGAATAAGAAGCAAAAGGTGGGTGTGGCTGGATAACCACGCTTCTGGTAACATGTGGGTGCGGCCTAATGTGCTAATGAGCTGTGCTGTCAGGGGTGTGGCCCAATATGCTAATGAGTGCCTGCTGTTGGGTGTGGCCTATTATGCTAATGAGTTCCTGCTGGGCTTTTTCTACAACAAGAGCCCTGCATTATAGCATGTACTGTATATACATTACGATGGAACAGTCTGCTCCCCCCCCAATATCTGCCTGTGTTGGTTTAGTCCCATGGGGTAGAGTCCCTGCTCCTTAGTTCTGTTCGTTATAGAGTTGCTATTCCCCCAATAGGAGTAGGGGTTCCCCCACTTTGGGGGGGCCCAATCCACTGACAACCAGCTGGATGGTGGAGGCCCACCCCCAAAGAGCCCCGTCACACCCGACGTGCCCGGAGGTGAAGTCATTGTGCCAGGCATGTCACGTGAGGAGGACATTAGCATTTGGATTAAAACTTTATGGTGACCATAGAATTTTTTTGACCAAATGCTAGAACATCCCCTGCAATGACGTGCCCAGTGTGATGACATCACTTCTGCGTGATGCCATTGAGGTGCACACACAAAGCGTGCACACCAGAAGATCCAGGGACTGGGCAGGAGCACCCCCACCGGCAGCCAGGTAAGACCTGGAAACCCTACTTTGTTAGAATGGTAGACTGCATGAGCTCCCTCATCCTGAACCTAGTTGCTCCCTATTCTTCGGGTTGCCACCTTTGGGTTGGGAAACTCCTGGAGATTTGGAGGTGGGGCAGGATTTGAGGAGGGGAGGGACCTCAGCAAGGAATGTCATAGGATCCATCCTTTGAAGCGGCCATTTTCTCCCAGGCAACTGACCCCTGTTGACTGGAGATCAGTTGTCATTCCAGGAGACCTCCAGGGCCAACCTTGAGATTGGCAACCCTGTACCCTGTATTTTCTTGCTAATAAATGGATGTTGTTTTTAATCAGAGCGCAGGGACCCAAGGGCCCACAGCAGGGGGCTGTTTTGGCACAGAAGCCATGCCCCTGTGGGGCCCATGCTGGGAGGCCCAGAGTTCTGGGGAAGCCTGGAGCGTTGGCAGTCAAGAGGCACCCCCTCTGTGCCGAGCAGCAATCCCAGGCCACATTATCTGTAGGCAGCCTGCTGGCATTGCCCACTAGCCCGTGTGGGTTTTGGGCTGGGGGCAGGACTGGCACTGGGCACTTTTGTACCTAAGAAAACAGTGCCTCTAAACACATGGAGAGTGATTTGGTCCGCCGGGCAAATGATTTGTGGTTCTTGCCGCACAACTCGGGGATACAGTACAGATGCAAATCCGAATGATGACAGGGTGCAGTTGTTCGCTTAAGATTCTTTAATTCATTCTGATTCAGTTTATTTCTTAAACAAAGCCAATATCTATACCCAGGACGCCAAACACAGTGACAAAATACCTTCACAGACAGACAACATTAAACATGTTTGTGGGGATAAGCACAGTTTCCATGGACACCAGCACAGGAAGACCAACAGCTTCAGCTTACTATGTCTTCTAATGTCTAATTTATGCAATGGAATATTTAAGATGCCTTTTCCAGTAGAAGGTCAAAGAAGTCTACTCCACATTACTGTTAACATGTAAGCCACCCTTTCCTACTAGGGAAGATGCTGATGGTAACTGGGGCATCCTGCAAAGATCAGAATGCGCAAAATATTTGTGAATGACTATGACATGGTTTTGTGTGATGCACTTGGATGTATAGGATGTGAAACCAAGTCAAAGGTGTGCAAGAGAGGGAGGGAGGATGCACCAGCCCTCCTGGTTTTTAAGGGAAAGGGACTTCCGCAACTCCATGACCTGGAAGCTACTTTGCACTGCTCATGAGGATCCAGACTTGGACTGCAGCAACTTCAGTTGTGGGTTCAGACAACGTGTGGCTGGAGAATGGCAAAACTCAAGCTCTTAGGGAAGTCACCATGAGACCCTTCACTATCTAGGACTGACAGTTTCCAACTATGTGAACTACTGCCTGATCCTGTGTAAAGGGCAGCATTTCATGTAACTGAACACTCCGTTTTTGTAGAGTCTACCCACTCAGCTTTTGGACCAATGAAACGATGCCTGGACACAGCAGCCGCTGGCATGCTCAAGAACTCTCCCAACTCCACTGGGAACAATTCTAGCTGGGAATGAGCCTTCCTCAGAGTTAGCTGTGGGATAATTCCCTTACAAATAACACTGTGTTAAACGTCCAAGTCAGCATCCAACCATCATTCCGTAATGAGTGGGCTATCTAGAGTATAAAATCATTGTCATAATGAGGTAAGTAAGTATGAAGTATGACTTTGTGTGACGGGAAGTGCAGTCAAGTTGCAATCGAAGTACAGTGAGCCCAGAGGGTTTTCAAGGCAAGTGAAAGACAGAGGTGGTTTGCCATTGCCCGCCTCTGCACAGCAGGGCTTCTTTGGTTTGTTTGTTTTTACAGAGCTGCTGGAACTCTCAAGTGGGAAATGAAGTTTTCAGTCTGTTTACTGGAAACTCATGAACTTTTAAACATTTTAAAAATAATTTTGTCAAATAGGTTCTGGAATTATGTTTCGGCGCATTCCCCCAGGGAAAAAAAGCCTTGCTGCACAGCAACCATGGACTTCCCGTGTGGTCTCCCATCCAAGTACGGACCAGGCCTGACCCTGCTTCGTTTCTGATATTGGTCTAGCCTGGGCCACCCAGGACACAGCAGTATGATTTCAGACACCATAAACATATCATCCCTTTAAGAATGTAAGAACAGAAGAGAAGCCAATGCTGGATCAGGCCAATGGCCCATCCAGTCCAACACTCTGTCACACAGTGGCCAAAAATACCAGGTGCCATCAGAAGGTCCATCAGTGGGGCCAGGACACTAGAAGCCCTCCCACTGTTGCCCCCTCCCCCAAGCACCACGAATGCAGTGCCAACTGTTATAAAGTCGATCCCCTACCCTCTACATTCTTGGGTCCTCTCAAGGTTTAATTCCCAATCTGCCAGTTGCTTTTTCAAAATACCTTTAGATACCTTTCCATCTTTCTTCCAGTCCCTGATCTAAAGATATACCTCTTTGTCCCAGATCTCCCTTCCATATTTTTCTACCAGATCTCTCACACTCCCTACCTGTTTCAGTGGGTTGCAGTGAGAGAAAGGAGGCAAGGAAATCCTGCTCCATGGAGCTCCACCCAACAGTTTCAGGTCATCCTCAGACCCAGGCGCTCCATATAATAGTCCTATCTGTGAGGAGTGACCAAGCTGTGGCTACTCAGTACTAAGCAAAACTCTGAAATCAGCATATATGCACAGTTTGTTTCAAATGTTCCAGAGACGAGTCTTGGCACTGAGAACAGGTCCAGGGGACGACTCAAAGCTCTCGCTTGAGTACCTCGGCGTGGAAATTCTGCAAGCTGGAAAGGAGGCAGTTTTCACCAAATCCCCCCCCCCCGCTGCAAACCTTTGACTCCGCAGTGCCAACTGTTATAAAGTCGATCCCCTACCCTCTACATTCTTGGGTCCTCTCAAGGTTTAATTCCCAATCTGCCAGTTGCTTTTTCAAAATACCTTTAGATACCTTTCCATCTTTCTTCCAGTCCCTGATCTAAAGATATACCTCTTTGTCCCAGATCTCCCTTCCATATTTTTCTACCAGATCTCTCACACTCCCTACCTGTTTCAGTGGGTTGCAGTGAGAGAAAGGAGGCAAGGAAATCCTGCTCCATGGAGCTCCACCCAACAGTTTCAGGTCATCCTCAGACCCAGGCGCTCCATATAATAGTCCTATCTGTGAGGAGTGACCAAGCTGTGGCTACTCAGTACTAAGCAAAACTCTGAAATCAGCATATATGCACAGTTTGTTTCAAATGTTCCAGAGACGAGTCTTGGCACTGAGAACGGGTCCAGGGGACGACTCAAAGCCCTCGCTTGAGTACCTCGGTGTGGAAATTCTGCAAGCTGGAGAGGAGGCAATTTTCACCAAACCCCCCCCCCCCGCTGCAAACCTTTGACTCCCCCTTTATGAGTTTCTTATGGGTCAATTCCCCCAGGAGCAGCAGCTCGGGGGCAATTTGGGATACAGCAGGCAGGGGACACAAGGAAGTTGCGCCCCACAGACCGAAATCTATCAGCAGAAATCAAAACCCATGTATGGATTCCCATGAGATCTTAATACTTCAATGGGTGCTTAATACATCTAAACATCTAGCTGTTATTGTTATGCTCAAAATGTTCATAAATCAAGGACATCCAGGAGGGGCGGAGGGCTGTAGACTGGAAGTGAGGATTCTTTCAACTTGTGTCCGAGACTTGTGGACAATCAGCTGTGCTCTCGCTCCGACCACATGATAAATTTAAGTGGGTGCCAACTAGCAAATCTTTGAGCTGATGCTTTCAAAAATTGTATAATGTTGCACCAAACGGTTATATCGTATCGCAACAAATGAGTGCAACTGATCCTCTAGGGAAAAAAATAACAATTCTCTTGTTAACAAGAGAAGGAGAAAAGGCAGCAGGAAAAAAACCTGTTTTTAAAAAGTCTCTCTCCGTCTGACGGGCACCGAATTTTTGCTTCCTGGGTGACGTCCCTCTGTGATGCATGTTGACATCGCTGGGGGAAAAGCTCTCTGATGGCTGTTTTCATCGAAGTTTGCCTGCAATGTCTTTCAGAAGGCACTTCAGATCAGTAAGCTTTAAAGGGGGAAAAAAGTCACATGAGCCCACGATCATCTCTCCATCATCAGCAGTTCAGGTGGGGGTGGTCCCCATTAAGAACTGTATAAAACCCCAGCCTTAAAGCTAAAAAACTAGGAAACAGTAGACTCCCGCATCTCAGCTAAGACCTTGTTCTTGTTCCACGATGGTCTGTCGCTTATGAGAACTGGAAAAACCAAGACGGGATCACAGGTATCCATATAGGAAATACAACAAACAAGCAAACACTGTGATATGAATGGCCAAGACATTTAGTAATAAAGAGCATATTATATTATGGAGCTGCGGTGGCTCAAGTGGTTAGGACGCTGCACTGCAGGCTGTGGAAGGTCAGTAGTTCAGCAGTTCGAGACCCAAGTGTGCCGCATGACGGAGTGAGCTCCCGTCTCTAGTTCCAGCTCCTGCCAACCTGGCAGTTCGAAAGCAAGAAATTGCAAGTAGATAAATAGGGACCACTTCGGTGGGAAGGTAACAGCATTCCGTGCGCCTTGGTGTTTAGTCATGCCGGCCACATGACCACAGAAATGTCTTCGGGCAGTGCTGGCTCTTCGGCTTTGAAACGGAGATGAGCACCGCAACCCTAGAGTCGGATTCGACTGGCTTTCGAGCAAGCGAACCTTTACCTATATTATATTATAAATAAAACTTTACAATACTACAAGGAAAAGTCCATCATTCTCAATGAGCACCCGGATATAAGCTCATTTCGTCCCAATCTTCCTCAGGAGTAATCCTATTGTATCGAAAGGTGTCAGCCTCTTGATACAGCTCAATGTTATGTTAGGAGCTTTGTATAATTTTTGTAGTTTTCCAGTTGTTTAGAACTGGATTCTTAATAGTGTCTTTTATGTTTAGTCGCTGTCATTACCGAGGAAGTTCAACGAAACAAAGTTTATAATATCTGGATTCTTCGTTTATATGCTGAACTCATATTATTTGATTTCTTCATGTGCTAGTCGTTACATGCTACATGTAACCAGAAGACTACTTTGTTAAATTTATGCTATAAGCAATGTAAATTGAAAACTTCTTTGTTATACCTATACTTTATTGACTTTATTCACTTATATAAACTTTACTGCTTTGTCTATTATTAACAGTATCATTATATATTTTTGTAGCATTGTTTGTTACACAGCAGTAGTTGCTATTTGCTCCTAATACAAACACTTGAAATGGAACCAGAAGATAATTTGAAGAAAATAAAGAAGTTAAGCACTGGTTTGCTCCTAACATAACACTGAGCTATATCAAGAGGCTGACACCTTTCAATGCAATAGGATTATTCCTGAGGAAGATTGGGACGAAATGAGTTTATATCCGGGTGCTCATTGAGCATGATGGACTTTTCCTTGTAATATTGTAAAGTTTTATTTATAATATGATTTTTACTAAATATCCTTGTCATTCATATCACAGTGTTTGCTTATGAGAACTGAGCATTCCCAAATGTAGCCCAGATTCTTGCAGCTGTTCTCTAGTGACTGGCTGTTTCCAGAGCCTATGGCTGTGATCACACGAGCTGTTTGGCCCGACACAGCCACCCCTCACCTCCGGATCAAATGGATGCAGTCACACAGCCACATCTGTCAGGCATTCCCCAGGCTCCATTGTAGGATGACTTGGAGCCAGGTTAAAAAGGCACATCACAAGGGGTGTTTTTGGTTCCCTGCGCATTTGTTTGCGCATGCTGGATGTCTGAGCGCAGGGATTTGCAGAATGGATTTGGCAGTCTGAACCTGCAGATCCGTTCCCGCCGCTAGGGAGGGTTTTTAAAAATGTTTGCCTATATGTCTATGCACATGAGCACATGAGCACATGTGCGTGCGCATAAATTTTAAAAATGACCGGGCAGTGCACTCTGTGGCTGCAGCGCAGCAGTAATGTGGATGCTTGACCACAGGATGCCCGTGTGGGTAACCCGCAGCAGGGGGTGCTGTCTGGATGATACGCCCCGCAACACTTTAAACCGGTACAATTAGAGGCGGCACCATATCGTGCCAAGCTGCCAGTGTGACCACAGCCATTGTTTCTCTTCCCCAGCTTTCCCCTGCTTAGCGCCCCCCTCTTTTTTAATAGCAGTATCACCACGGCTGCTCAAATCAGCCCTGCATATTGGATTACTAATAAGAGATGTTTTTGACTTATTGTTTTATTCTATCATTCATTTTTATTTCAGTCATGTTTGCATTACATTGCTTTTTGATTCTTTTCTTTCCCACTGCGAATGCAGTCTCCTCCTCCTCCTCATTCCACCTCCTCCCCTTCATATTTGCTGTGAGACAGCAAGCTGTCACTCCTGTGTTTGCCCTAGAGGCAGGTGGGACAATCTGGGGTTCCTCCAATGCCCCTCAAATGCTGGGAAATGTAGCCCCCCCTCAAGTTGCCTGCCTGGCATCCAGCCTGAAGACTACATTCCCCAAGAGGTACTTCAAAGCCATCAGAAAAGGCATTTATCTGGGGCAACAGGGGAGCCTGGGGGGAGAGATCTCCTCCCTTTCCTCTGTCGAGTTGCTGCTGGATGCTTTCACACACACTAAATCAGGGCTATTTTGGGGCAGGAACGCACAGGAATGGAGTTCCGGCTGGCTCCCGAGTTGGCCACGCCCAGCAGGAACTCATTAGCATAACAGGCCACACCCAACAGCAGAAACTCATTAGGATTGGCTACATTGGGGTGTGTGGCCTAACATGCAAAGGAGTTTCTGCTACAAAAAAAGGCCCTGGGTTTTGACAACAAACAAGGTAAACAGAATAAGAAGCAAAAGGTGGGTGTGGCTGGATGACCACACTTCTGGTAACATGTGGGTGCGGCCTAATGTGCTATTGAGTTGTGCTGTCGGGGTGTGGCCTAATATGCTAATGAGTTCCTGCTGTTGGGTGTAGCCTGTTATGCTAATGAGTTCCTGCTGGGCTTTTTCTACAAAAAGAGCCCTGCAATAATGCACTTTCAATCCAGTTTCAATGCACTTTGCAACTGGATTTTACTGTGTGAAATGGCAAAATTGATGTGGAAATGGTCACTGAGGTGGATTGAAACTGCATTATTTAGCATGCGTGAAAGTGCCTGCTGTCCCCATGCCTGGCAAGCCTCACAGTACTGCAAGCAGAAGCCCTCCTCTCACTAGGGTTGCCAGCCTCCAGGTGGAACCTGGAGATCGATCTCCTGGAATTAGAACTGATCTCCAGATGACAGAGATCAGCTCCCCTGGAGAAAATGGCTGCTTTGGAGGGTGGATTCTATGTAAATAGACGCTGCTGAGGTCCCTCCCCTCTCAGGGCTGCCAACCATTTGAGGAGAAAACTCTTTGTTTTCCCCTCAAATGGCGTGGCCCCGCCCAGCGTGTGACGTCACTTCCGGTGACGCTCTGGCGGCGCGCGCGTGCATCCGCAGACAGCTCCCGGACCGGCAGGACGCTCCCCCGCCGATACGTTTTTCGGATTTGGCAACCCTATCCCCTCTCCAAACCCCACCCTCTCCAGGCTCCGCCCCCAAATATCCAGGTATTCCCCAATCTGGAGCCGGCAACTCTACTGCTTATACAGTAGCTGCAGGCAGGCAGTTGAAGGGCGGGGCAGAGAAAAGGCACAGAAAGAAGAGTGAGGCGTGAGGAGAAGAAAGAAGGCAGCTCCTGGGCAATGCAACAAGTAATTAAGTGGCATCTGTTCACTGCTTTGTCCCTGAACAAATGCAATAAAACAGGTTTTCATTTGTTTGAGGGGGGAAGTGCACAGTCCAAAGTATGGCTATGATTATTGCTTGGGGAAAGGTGTACAGCTTTAATTATTACAACAAGAATAGTAATCGTAACACCGGCTTGTACACTACCAGGTTCCAATGCATGCTGGTTTTTCCACCTTCCTCTCCCTCCCTGCAATCCCCCCTTTCAGCTCCTAAAATATTACTTCCAGGGTTCCTCTGGACAAACAGTGGTGTGGACCATGGGACTGCACGGGAGGCGGTCAAGAGGGTGAGATTGTCCTTCTTCCATCAGCTCAGCTCCAGCAGTGTTTGAAAAAGGAGGGGAGGTTTTAATCCCTTTCCCGGCCTCATTGACCCATGCAGTTATTTATCCACACGGGTACCACAACCCCAGGAATAACCTTTCTGGAAGTTAAAAGGACAGCACGGACGGAGAAGAACACAGGAAATTTAGTATTCCATTGGCACTTCATGTGAAACAAACCGTTAATAATAGTTAGCATTTATGTGGCATATTTCAAGCGTTCAGACTGCTGTATTTACGTTGCCATATAATCCTTACAATGGCTCCGTATTATTGTCCCCATATTGCAGATGAAGGCAGAGGACAAGAGAATTTGTGAGATGGATGTGAAGCTCCACGAACATTCTAAATGCTATATATTATTATTTGCCGCGGTGATTTAAAAATGGAGTGCAATAATTACAAGTGATTGGTGTTGGAAAATAGCACCGTCTTGTGAACAGAGAAGACAGAAGACCCTATAGGGGGCAGCAAGCTATAGCTAAACAGCAGAAGTACCTTATTTCCAAAGGGGCTTCTCCTCTTGTCTGTCTGCAGGATGCTATTCTTATAATTTTTGTCTAGAACAGTCTAGATCTCTCTTTCTATCTCTCAGCTATCGAGGCAGCTAGGTTTATCTCTTATCTCTCTATCCAGTTTACTAGTTTCTAAATAATGTTTTCTTTACTTTAATCAGTTCAGTGTCCTGCTTGCTAAATAGGCACTCTTGCCAACAATTGGCACAATCAAGGAACTCATTCTTCAAAATAGCATTAAAAACTAAGACAGTGACCCCCCAAAATGGTACCTATGGTCACCATGGTACCCATCAATACGTTCCCTCAAAGCAAACGCCTGGGCTTTCCTTCCCCTCATTGGAAGAGGAAGTAGATCAGAAGACCGCTGGAAGGTCTGCAGGAGTTCAAAAACAGCAACCTATAGCTTGGGTTGCAACCTCCCAATATTTCTTATTTGCCCCAGTACTCTACTGCAGCCATTTTGTGGTGGTGCCCAAAGTACCTGCAGGCTGAATGAGACTGGGATCTCTGCCCTAAGAAATCTAGATGGTAGTGCATTTGCAAATACACAGCATTCTGTGGTTTTATTGGAAGCCAGTGCATGTCGACTAAACCTCCTCCCCTGCAAAAAGTACCTTCATATCCAGTTGTTTAAATCGTTGAACCATTCTGTGGAAAGAAGCAAAACAGTTAGGAGGGGGAATATAACTCAGTGATGTCTTCATTTAATCTGAAGGCAGTAATCTGGCAATACAAATCACAAAATACGGAGTGCACTATTATGAAGTTCTGTGGAAATGAAGAAACAAAGGAGAAACTTTGGAAGGATTGGCTGATGGATTGGTTGACGGCATTTATAAGCCACCTGTCTCCACAGTATTATCCCTTATGCTGGAATCATTCAGGCCACAAACTATGTGCACTTACTTTGGAGTAAATCCCATGGAATTCAGTGTACTAATAAAATGGACGTTGCTTCCTATCAAGGGTAACTTCTTCCCTAATAGACGTTTGATTATTCTGCAGGCTTATCTATTTTTAACACATTGATTGAAATCCATGTAATCAGTGATGTCGCCAGTTCATAATTCCATGATCTGACTGGAATACAAATCTCAGCAAGTCCTAATGTTCATCTTCAATACAAGGAGAACATTAAAGTCCTGTATTCTTCTCTGGCTCACACTGGAACAGGAACCAAAAAGTACACCTCCTGCACTCTCACTTAATGGCTGTTATTCTGCTCCTGTGTATGGAAGGGGGGAAGGGGGAGGCTGTTCACCCCAGTCATTGGAAGAATATTGGGGAAAGTGACACAGTGGATGGGGACTGGTTTCTGCTGTAGTCACAGTGTCATCTGCTACTCCTGGATCCAGGAAGGATCCAAAACATATACTGCCACCATCCAAAACATTATACTGCCACCATACTGCCACCTTTGTCTACTTCTTAATGTGACCAAAACATGTTTTATAGCCGCCCACTACAGCAAACAAAAGAAATCCAATATTAACAGGGAAACCTCCTAGGCGGAACTAAAGTTGGCATCGGTATGGCAGGTATGGCAGAAGATGAAAGCTCAGGTCTAGGTTTCAAAAAGGACAAGGTATTTATTGTAAAAGGTAAATCAGGAATAAGCATAACATTTTTAAGAGTGGAAATCATGAAACTGATGATAATGACAAAATTATAAAAACTAGAAAAACTCAAGCATTTCTACATTGACTAGTGCCAAATATAAGTCCAGATATCATTCGGAGCATATTTATGAGGTTCTTTATTGCTAGGAAAATTTGCAGATGGCCTCAGTCATAATAACCAGGGACCATTAGGGGTGGGGGGACTGTGGACAAAATTCTGGGGGCCCAAGTCAGCTGGAGGGCCGCTTAGGGCTCTTTAGCTTGGAGAAAAGACGGCTGAGGGGTGACATGATCGAGGTTTATAAGATTATGCATGGGAAAGAGCAGGTAAAGAAAGAGGTACTTTTCTCCCTTTCTCACAATACAAGAACTCGTGGGCACTCCATGAAACTGCAGAGCGGTCGGGTTAGAACGGATAAAAGGAAGTACTTCTTCACCCAAAGAGTGATTAACACATGGAATTCACTGCCACAGGAAGTGGTGGGTGCTACAAGCATGGACGGCTTCAAAAGGGAATTAGATAAGCATATGGAGCAGAGGTCCATCAGTGGCTATTAGCCACAAGGTATAGCTAGGGGCTCTGGGGCAAGTGATGCTCTGTCTTCTTGGTGCTTGGGGGGGGTCAACAGTGGGAGGGCTTCTAATGTCCTGGCCCCACTGCTGGACCTCCTGATGGCACTGGTATTTCTGGCCACTGTGTGACACAGAGTGTTGGACTGGATGGGCCTTTGGCCTGATCCAACATTGGCGTCTCTTATGTTCTTATATGTTCTTAAGCCAGCACCATGTTGCATTCAGAGAGTATCTTATTTTACTTCTAAAGCAGTTCTAGGCGCTGCGGTGGCTCAAGTGGTTAAGACGCTGAACTACAGGCTGTGGAAGGTCAGTAGTTCAGCAGTTCAAGACCCGAGTTGCTGCATGACGGAGTGAGCTCCCGTCTCTAGTTCCAGCTCCTGCCAACCTAGCAGTTCGAAAGCAAGAAATTGCAAGTAGATAAATAGGTACCACTTCGGTGGGAAGGTAACAGTGTTCCGTGCACCTTGGTGTTTAGTCATGCTGGCCACATGACCACGGAAACGTCTTCGGACAGCGCTGGCTCTTCGGCTTTGAAACGGAGATGAGCACTGCAACCCTAGAATCAGACTCGACTGGCTTTCGAGCAAGGGAACCTTTACCTTTACCTTTTAAAGCAGTTCTGTACTACAGCCACTAGGGGCTCAGGAAATGCAGAGCACAGTAAACAGCAATATACCTGACTGCTCCCAGTGCCTTTCTGTAAAGTTTACTACCAGGCTTAAGCAAACCCTTGCTTACCAGATCCTGCTGCTAGTAATAAATGAGGAACATAACTTAATTAATTTATTTATTTTTTCGACTTTTATCCCGCCTTTCTGCCGAAGCGGCTCAGGGCGTCTTAAGAGTTTAGCTTAGCTTCCATTGCAAATAACATGGGGACAAAGGTCTAGAAATTACCCGGGCCAGGAGGATATTCCAGTTCCTTTCATTTGCGTTCTTCGAACTCCCACAAGCATCTTATTTTGAGATTCCTTGTTTTATTTTCTGAGGAGTTATGCATGCCACAAATCGACAGACAGATGGACATGTGGATTCTTTTATTATTATAGGTGCATGGTAGTAGCCAGCCAAGTGAGTTGTTTTGTTACAATATTTGGTTTGGATCAGGTTCATATAGGGGCCCAGACCTAATCTTTGTCTGGGCGCTCATGGTTGCTCTCAGCAGCCCTGATAACAACTCACTCCAGGCCTCTTCCATGCTATTCTGTCAAACTTCAGATGAACAAGAGAGCTAAATTTATGGAAAGCCAGTGAGTTGTAGACTCGGACTGGGGAAACCCAGGTTCAGATCTCCAATCAGTGTAGATACTCACTGCATGAACCTGGGTTCTTCTCAGCCAATCCTACCTCACAAAGTTGTTGTGAGGATAAAAAGGAAGAGAGAACCTGGTGCATCACCATGAGCTCTCTGGGGAAAGGCATTGATAAAAACATGATAGAAGATTATGTGTTTCAGATGGATTGAAATCTTGCAGTTTGGGTTACCTAGTAAGCATCTCTATTTAACCAACCGAGGGTTAAGACAGCCAATCACAGGGACTAAGCCCATCTGAATGCCCCTTTCATACCTCTCAAGGGCAAAAAGGACAGACATTTCAACAATTAGCAAGACTGCTAACTAGGAAGGTGCATGGCCAAGAGTATCAAATATGAAATGAAATTCCATATTAATCAAACTTGGAACAGTGACTGAAACAACATAGAATAAGGTGAAGCTATTTGCGTAGCACAGTTTCCCTGTGACGATAAATCTCCTCTGTTTACATTGAAAACGAGGGGTGGGATTTTGCAATTTCCACTATTAAGGAAAGGTATGGACATCATTTTAATTGCATAACGTATGTATTGTCATTGTTATGACTCCTGTGTGACTGTAACCCACTCTGAGCCGAATTGCGGGGAGGGCGGGATAGAAATCAAATCAAATCAATCAATCAATAAATAGATGAGAGGAGGAGTGAGCTCACATTCCCAACTTGTGCTTTCCTACTCAAGCATTTTTCTCCTCAGCCCTGCTCACTCCTTGTTTGCTTGTTTGTTTATTTGTTTAAGATGCAGGCTTTCCCGCCATCAATGGGAGCTCAAAGTGCCTTGTTTGTTTATTTGTCTAAGATCCAGCGTTTCCCGCCATCAATGGGAGCTCAAAGTGGCTTACAAAGCCAGGATGGGAAAAGGTCATCTGAAATAACAAGGCACAAAGAATATTTTTCTCCTCAGCCCTGCTCACTCCTTGTTTGTTTGTCTAAGATCCAGCCTTTCCCGCCATCAATGGGAGCTCAAAGTGGCTTACAAAGCCAGGATGGGAAAAGGTCATCTGAAGTAACAAGGCACAAAGATGCGAGGCAGATGAGGGCTCTGTTCTCCTCTCCTGCCCACCCTTTTGAAGTACAACTTAAATCTTGATTCCTGAGTAGCGTGGACATGGGCTTTTTACAAAAAAAGCTTGGCCAACTCCTCACATTTTGTGTGGTCCCTCTCTCTATTCCTGGTATGCAAGATTAGCCTTTTTGTTTCCACCAGTGCCTTTTGTATTGGCCAGCCACCACACATCACCCATTGATTATCTGCTCTTTTTCTTACAAGGAGAATCAATACATCTGAATGAACTGGGTGCATCTTGAAGAGCAACAGCTATGGAGATAACAAACAAGTCACGGAGCTTGATTAGCCAGGGAAGACGAAGCAAGACAACCTACTCTTCTGTCGAGTCATTAGCCTTGGTATTGATTCTGACCAGATAATTTTCTTTCATGACAGCCTCCCAGGCCAGAGTTTCATTGTCTTCGTTTCTTGAACCTTCAAGATACAAAATACACATCACGCTCCAGCATTCCAAATGGACTGGCAATACACACAAAAAATTCAGACGATAGCTCTAAGGTTAAACACACACACCCCCATTTGCTCCAGCTAGAAGATGCGATAGACCGACAGACTGGTTGAATGCATGAGAAGCAAGTCTTATTTGAAAGTGCATAGCACTGCATCCTTACTGCCTCAGTTGCGCTCAGTGTTTGAAGACTAAATAAAGTTTCTTCAGGTTGCTCAGTTGGATTGTAACATGATCTTAAACCAGAGAGTCCCCAACTAGTCCCATTAAACCTTTGGCAAGAGTTAAACATTTCCAAGACACAATGTGAGCTCATTTCGATATTAATACTGGGCACAAAGAACGTTATAGCCACAAATCGGAAGATGCCAAACTCCCCTTCAATAGAAGCCTGGTATTCTAAAATCTAGGATTATGCCATTATGGACAAAATAACAGAAGACACTAGGAGATCAGAAAACCCCTCGGCTACTTCAAACTACCTGGAGAAATGGTACCCTTTTTTGGAAAAATGTTGTTTTGATCGAGAAAACCCGAATTCTTTTGAAAATAACAGAAATAATAAATTTATAGCCCTGTTGTAATAAAAGAGATAATGTTGCAGAGAACTATAGATGGACAAAAACTCAGTGTTATGTAGTGAAAGTTGGTTGTTTATTTATGACCTAGTATGATTGTATTATTGTTGTATCTGTTGAAATGATTAATAAAAAAGCTTTTTAAAAGATTTGTTGTTCAGTCGCACAGTCGAGTCCGACTCTTTGCGACCCCATGGACAAGATCTCGCCAGGCAGGGCTCCCAACACGGCAGCCACAGGTCTCGTAGTGCCTGTTGACACCTTTCCTGGCACCTGCCAAGTGGTTTTTAGAAAGTGGGTGGGGCCAGTTGGGGGTGCTGCCCAGCAAGGCTTCTGATTGGTCACTGCAGATCTGATGGGCTAAGGAGATTAAAATCCTGTTGGTTGTGTTGGCGGCTGCCACTTCAGTGTTGGTGGTGTTATTCTCCCTCTCTCCTCTGCCACAGGGCATTTTGAAAAATTACTCCTTCTGTCCTCTGAATGTCAGCTTTCTCTCTGACCATTTCCACGGTAGTGACATTCCCCACATTGATGTTTTTAAAACTGTGTGTTATTTGAAGTTTTCCACAACGATTTTTCCTCACCAGGCGCGAACCTGAAGTTTTCTCCTTCTTATCCCATGTTTTTAATCGAGTTTTCCTCACCAGGCGTGAACCTTCTTATCCCATGTTTTTGGAAATGGGGATTCCAAAAATGCGGGATCAGAAGGAGAAAACTTCAGGATTGTGCCTGGTGAGGAAAAATCTATTGTGGAAAATTTACCATAACACACAGATTTAAAAACATTAATGTGGGGAATTTCATGACTGCGGAAACGGTCTCTCTCTCTATGTAGCTCCTCCTCCCAGTGGTAGGGTTGCCAGCTCCAGGTTGGGAAATACCTGGGGATTTGTGGGTTAGAGTTTGAGGATGGTGGGGTTTGGGGAGGGAAGAGACTTCCAAAGTAGCCATTTTCTCCAGGTGAACTGAACGTTGTCACCTGGAGATCAATCTCAGGAGATCTCCAGCCACCACCTGGAAGTTGGCAACCCTACCCAGTGGCCATTTTGTAGTTGTCTCTGCCTCTTGTGGTAGCCATTTTGTGGTTGTGCACACCACTTTGTTTCAGAATTCCAAAGGTGACCACAGGCTCAGAAAGGTTGGGGACTTCTGATCTAAGGCATGCTGCATTGCCAGAGAACTGGACTTTATTAATATTAGTGATTCTGTGGCTGCTATACCTCCTACTCACTCTTACTGTTTCATCTTTTGGGGGGCAACTACAATGTTGTATTTGCTACATTCCGGGGGAAGAACTAAGATGAAGAAGACTGGGGGTAAGGACTGGGTGGGACTGGGAGGGTGGCAGTTGAAAATGTCCTACTGACTCATTAACACAAATGGCAAAGTTCAGTTTTCCTCAACCAGGATGACTGGCTGATACTTAGGAATGTTTGCACTTAACCTGAATCACACCCTCCAGGTCAGACCTCACAGCCGGGGACAGGTTCTAGGTTGTTTCTTCCCTATATGTAAAATGAAAGCCTGACCCAAATGTGGTACTACAGTAGACATCCCCCAAAAGCCCTCCTTGTCTATCAGTGGCTACTAGCCATGGTGATGAAAGGGAAACTGCATGTTCAGAGGCAGTAAACCTCTGAATCCCAGTACCATGAGGCAACATCAGTGGAAGGCCTTGGCCTCAGTGCCCTGTTGTTGGGCCTCCAGATGAACCGGTTGGCCACTGTGTGAGACAGGACGCTGGACTAAATAGACCAGTGGTCTGATCCAGCAGGGCTCTTCTTACATTCCTAATGTACCCCCCGCCCAAGAAAAACACCCACAGCTTAAACCCCTTTAAAAACCCTCACAAAAAACTTCTGAAGACAGCATCCCCCACCTCCTTATGAAGCCTGTCCCACAAGATAGCATCCACTGTAGAAAAGGAACAAGTTCTAGTAGATGCCAGATGGGATACCTTCAGTTGGGGAACAAGTAGGAGGTGTCAGTCAGAATATAGCAAACGGTGCACAGGAATATATGGAGACAGACAATCCTATAGATATGCAGGTCCTAGACCACAAAGCCTTTTAAAGGTTATAACCAGGGCCTTGAATTGAAATCAGAAAAAAACTGGCAGCCATTGTACCTTACAAAAGCATGGAGCAGCCACATCTACGGCAGAGAGAATTGTGAAACAAACGCAACCAACAAAAGGCAGTCTCGGCCACTACAACAACCTGTTTTCCAAACTGCGAGACTGGTTCCATGAACACCCCCAAAGCTCTTATCCTGCTTTGCAAAAAAACCCCAGCTCCACTCCATGCACTACAAGACGTGGACCTACTCCTTCCAAAGCATCAGCCTTTCCAACCAGCGACACCTCCATCTTATCTGGGTTCAGCTTCGGCTCCTTCTGTTTTAGGCTTAGTCTTTTCTGACCATAGCCTCAAAGTGTTGGTTCAGAGTGAAGATGGAGGCACCAGGAGGCTTAGATAATTAAATACACAGCTGGGTCTCACCTGAATATTAACGACATCCAACTCCGAAGCTCCAGATAACCTCATTCAGCAGCCTCATAGAAATACTGAAGAGCGGGGTGAGAGAATGGAAGCCTGAGGCATTCTACAAGATAGATCCCAACCAAGGTTCCATCATGCCATGGAGGGCCGGGCTGAAATGCTGTGCTGCACTTGGGAAAGACCTTCTTGCTCAACCAGCATCATTTTAAAATCAGGTCCATCTAAGGAGGGTTGCCTGTACTAACTCCCCACACACACACACACACACTTTACAATATGAACTTTATTTTGACAGATGTTGTTCTGAGACCCCAGTTTATTTAGTATGCAATAAACAAATATTCAGTGTGGATTTCAGATATCCAGTTTATGCAGCAGCATAAAGGGTTGGGTATGAAGTTGTAAGAAAACTTGGCCAATTAAACGAAGCCCTTAAAACATTCTATTTAAAATATTTATGTTGTGCCTTTCGGTTTAAAACAGACTTTAAAATATTAAACGATTAACCATTTTAGAAAATGAATGAAATCCACAGGCTCCCTAAAATAGCAAAAGTCAAGAAAATCATAACAGCATAAGAACAAGATTCCATCATGCCATGGAGGGCCTGGCTGAAATGCTGTGCTGCCCTTGGGAAAGACCTTCTTGCTCAATCAGCTTCATTTTAAAATCAGGTCCATCTAACTCCCCCCCACACACACACACACTTTCCAATATGAACTTTATTTTGACAGATGTTGTTCTGAGACCCCAGTTTATTTAGTATGCAATAAACAAATATTCAGTGTGGATTTCAGATATCCAGTTTATGCAGCAGCATAAAGGGTTGGGTATGAAGTTGTAAGAAAACTTGGCCAATTAAACGAAGCCCTTAAAACATTCTATTTAAAATATTTATGTTGTGCCTTTCGGTTTAAAACAGACTTTAAAATATTAAACGATTAACCATTTTAGAAAATGAATGAAATCCACAGGCTCCCTAAAATAGCAAAAGTCAAGAAAATCATAAGAGCATAAGAAGAGCCCTGCTGGATCAGACCACTGGTCCATCTAGTGCAGCATCTTGTTTCACATAGCAGCCAGCCAGTTCCCATGGAGAGCCAATGTAGTGGATACAGAAGCCAAGGGTCTCTGCCTAAAGTTGCCTCCCAGCACTCGGCTTTAGAGGTTTATTGTCTCTGAGCATGGAGGTTCCCTTTACTCACCACGGTCAATAGCCACTGATGGACCTCTGCTCCATGAATCTGTCTTAACCCCCTTTTAAAGCCATCTGTGCTTGTAATGAATTCCACAATTTAATAACTCTTTTAAATAAAGAAGTATTTAGTTTTGTTTGTCCTGCAGCAATTGCCCATCAATTTCACTGGGTGCCACTGAGTTCTAATATTACTTGGAAGAGGAGAAAAAGCTTTCTCTATCCACTTTCTCCATCAGGTGCATAATTTTATAAACCTCTATCATGTGACCCCACCCCCTTTACACCACAAGTCCAGCCCTTTCCCGACAGCTGCCAACATCATCAGTCCACCCAACTCCTCTTAGGAAAGGTGCCCTAACCCTATACCATTTTGGTTGCCCTCTTCTGTACTTTTTTTACCTCTGCAATATCCTTTTTGAGATACAGAGGCCAGAAATATATACAGTATTCCAAATGATCCTTGTGCAAGGATATCCTTATGCAAGGATATTAAACACTTGCTGCTTTAGTCTCAATCCCTTTCCCAATAATCTCCAACAAAGTTTGCCTTTTTCACCACTGCTGCACACTGGAGCAACGTTTTCATTGAGCTATACTACAATCCCCTTTCCTGCTCAGTTTCAGCCAATTCAGGCCCCATCAGCACTTTGGTGTAGTGTGCGGACTCTAATCTGGGAGAACTGCGTTTGGTTCCCCACTCCTCCACTTGCAGCTACTGAATGACCTTGGGCAAGCCGTAGTTCTGTCAGAGCTGTTCCCTCAAGGACAGGTATCTCAGAGACCTCTCAGCCCCGCCTACCACACAGGGTGTCTGTTGTGGGGAGGGGAAGGGAAAGGCGTTTGTAAGCCGCTCTGAGACTCCGAGTGAAGGGAGGGGTATAAATCCAATCTCTTCTCTTCTAGTTATGATTTTTTTTTTGTTCCAGTGTGCATCATCTTACACTTATCCACACAGACTTGCATTTGTCACAGGTTGCCCACTCACCCAATTTTGATAGGTCCTCCTGCAGCTGTTCACAATCCACATTGCTTTTCACCAATCCGGAATAATTTGGTATCACCTGCAAACTTGGCCACTACACTGCTCATCCCGAATTCCTAATCATTTCTGAATAAATTAAACAGCACTGATCCCAATACCGGTCCTCGTGGGACTGCACTGCTTACTTCCCTCCATTGCAAGAACTGTCTGGTTAATTCTACTCTCTGCTTCCTGTTTAACCAATTTTGAATCTATAATCACATTGACACTAAAAGGCTGGCAACCAGGCCCATGTATCCAGGGATGGCGTTTCACAGCCAATATATACCAATGGCCATGACAACAGTGGCTCTCCGTCTGGTTGCCACCTCTGAGGAGGATTTCAAGGAGTTGCCGTTTTAATAAGCTTTGATGGAGCGGATCTCTAGAATAAGATCGCTTGTTCAAATAATTGTTCTGCCTCCTTGATGTATTAAAAAGTAGGAATGGTTGACAGTCATGATCACTGCTGATTGACCTCTCTAGTGACGGATTCTAGGAGCAGCGTTCTTGCTCTTTGCCAGCGCAGATCACTTGGGATCTAGTTAGAGTTACTCTTCTGCTAACTGTGAGAAGGTACAGTCATGGGTTGTATCAATTTGCGGAGTGAGCATCTGAACATGTAAGGGTTTTTTTCTTTCTTTTCTTTTCTTTCTTTTCTTTTCTTTTCTTTTCTTGCTGTTTTGCTGTCGAGTCACAGCTGAGGTATGGCAACCCCATAGGGTTTTCCAGGCAAGAGACAGTCAGAGGTGGTTTCACGGCTAAGGCTGCGATCATATGTACAATTGGACCCGACATGGGTGCGAATGCCGGGTGGATTTAAAGGGCGCGATCAGACAGCAACATCTGGGAAGTTGACAGTCATGATCACTCCTGATTGACCTCTCTGGTGATGGATTCTAGAAGCAGCATTCTTGTTCTTTGCCAGCGCAAATCACTTGGGATCTAGTTAGAGTTACTCTTCTGCTAACTGTGAGAAGGTACAGTCATGGGTTGTATCAATTTGCGGAGTGAGCATCTGAACATGTAAGGGTTTTTTTCTTTCTTTTCTTTTCTTTCTTTTCTTTTCTTTTCTTTTCTTGCTGTTTTGCTGTCGAGTCACAGCTGAGGTATGGCAACCCCATAGGGTTTTCCAGGCAAGAGACAGTCAGAGGTGGTTTCACGGCTAAGGCTGCGATCATATGCACAATTGGACCCGACATGGGTGCGAATGCCGGGTGGATTTAAAGGGCGCGATCAGACAGCAACATCTGGGAAGCATCCCGCAGTCGTCAGCAACCCGTTCTGCTCCGCCACAGAAGTGGAGTTAAAAGACATCGGGGGAAATCTGGTAGTAAACAGGTTGCGACAGGCCACGGATGGACTTTCCCCTGTCTGGTCCCTCCAGTGCACTCGCATGCCCCCGGGATGGTCTGATCAGGCCATCCCGACTCCCTGCTGTTGCCCCCCCCCCTTACAGAATGCGCATCATCGCAAACTCCATAGGGAGCCCGCAGAGCGGAGGTGCAGTTAATTGATTCCTTGTTTAAGCGCACAGGGAAACAAACAGCAAAAAAAACCCCAACTATTCACCCACAGTTGCGTCTGATCACACACTGACAGGCTGCGCCCGCATCTTCAAAAGGAGGTGTGATCTCACAACTGCGGGCCAAATTCCTCCAGAGGAAATAGTCTCGCTCCCCCCCCCCCTTCAACTGGCATGTGTGACCGCAACCTAAATATGGAAAATGTTAAGGTCTCAGACTTTAGTGCATAAAGAAACATTCTGGTTCTCAGGTAGAACAATCTCCCAAAATAGGGGAGAGTATTTAAATCTTGTCACAGGATTATTGAACTCCACAGGACCTCTAGGGCAAATTTATCCAAATAAAGTCATATGGGCTCAGACACATTGGGAACAATATGCCACATGATGTAATTCTGAGTGTAACAAAAAAAGAAGCAAAAGAAAAACTCCTGAATTAGGGTTGCCAGACCCCTAGTCTGGACAGGGTTTCACCTGTTTTTTTAGGGTGAAGCCCCACCCCCAAACATGTGTGTGATGATGTCACACAGAAGTGATGTCATCATGCAAGCATGCCACCACGTGATGCTCTGATTTGAGGGCAGAACTCTATGGTAAAACCTTAGAGTTTTGCCTTTAAACCAGAGCATTGCCGTGCAGTGTCCCCAATCTGATGACGTCACTTCCATGTGACATCAGTGTGTTGGGAATGTTGCCGCGCAATGTCCCCGTTTGGGGGCAGAGCCTTACCCCCCTCCTGGAACGCTCCCTCCCACCCCCCGCTGGTGCAACCTCGGCACCTGGCCAACCCTATGCTGAACTCACATGAAACTGCCTAATCTGAATCAGAATGTTGGTCCATTAAGGTCAGTATTGATAACTCAGACTGGCAGTGGTTCTCCAAGTCTCACATGGAGAGTGGTTCTCCAAGTCTCACTTTCACATCACCTACTGCCTGGTCCTGCCAGGGCCTCAGAAGCCCCTCCCCAAACTCCTGATTTGTTTGGCCTGCAGATTCCTGCTATTCCACATTACGGGACACTGGTTTCCCAGACACTCCCACTGTCTCCTCATCTAATTAGATGTAGGGGCACTGTTGTATAAAACCCATAGACGCCAAACAAAACCTTTAAAAACTGAAATAAGAGGAGAAACTCAAACCTACACATGGCATGGCAGGACCCAGGCCAGGGTTCAGATTAAGCGAGGAATGGGGAGCAATTTAATGTGTATCAGAATCCATCTCCTCACTCACGCTTTCCCCCTTGAAACTCCTTTTTTTTAAAGCAATTTTTCTCCCAGATGAGATAACTTAGAGGGCCAAAGGAGATGCTACAGTATCCATGGGTCTGACCCACAGAAGTTAACGCTATTTTAAAGCTGAACTCAGTCATTTAAAAATGCCACATAATGGGACCAGGTAATCTTGTTCCCGCCCCCCCACACCTTCTCAAGTTCTGAAACAGTGCCCCCATCCCCGGTCATTTTAAAATGGCAGAGTTCAGCTTTAAAATGGATGCTGTAACATCTAGTTTGGCCCTTACAGTCTCAAAACAGGAGACAAACAACTTTAAAAACCGTGTTTCTCACGCAAAGAAATGCTCCCCCTCCTTCCCACAAAAAGTCACAGTACAATCCGATGAAACTTACAGCAAGTGGATGGCTGCTTATTTTCATTTTTACAACAGCATCTCAACAGTTTCCTTAATACCATGTAGATGTAAGCAAAGATGACAAAAGGAAATGGAATCGTTAAGCGGCTACAGTACTCTTGAACTAAGAAATAGCGCTGGAATTTCCATACTTGGTCATTGTTCTCTTGGACGGATCCAACAGTATAGCTGAAAGATCAACACACAAGGATATCCATTTCAGAGCCACGTTTAAAAAATTTTCATCACTTTAAAATGGGGTTGCCAACCTCCAGACTGGGACCTCGAGATCTCCTGAAATTAAAACTGACCTTCAGACTAGAGATATCAGTTTCCCTGGAGGAAATGGCTGCTTCGGAGAGTAAACTCTATGGCATTATACACCGCTGAGATCCCTCCCCTCCTCCAACGCTGGCCTTACCAGGCTCCACCCCCAAATCTACTGGAATTTCCCAAGGACCAAGGACAGCTGAATAAATCCCACGTTCCCTGTGGTCAAAAGAGGTACCTGTAGGGTCCATTCTGCCACATGCACAATTGAGTTCAATACTACCTACAACCAAATAAGTGCCTACAGGATCACAACAACCCTAGTTTAATTTCAGTACTATTTTCAACCAGTCATCAACAGCATTATAAACAATTCTGTTAATTTCACTTATGAATTATATTTATCAGAATGAGTTCAGGAAACTTATGGCTATATCTCATAGCTATCTCTTTATCATTTTTGTACACATTGTATTTGTCCTTCGTTCCCTTGAAGGTGAATTAATTTATTATTGCAGTCAACAACTGCAAATGCAAGAAATGTGACCAGCACGTATCATTTTCAACTGCTTTCCCACTTATTCAGTATGTCTCTTGAATCAAGCCAGCAAGAGTCCATTCTGAAACACGAACACTGCTGTCATGATTAAACATTGTTTATATAAAGTCCACCAGCTGAAGACTGTTTATAATTTCCAAAATTACAGTCAGAATCACTTTATAAAAGTCTACTGCTAATATTACAATTCGCATATGAAAGGAAATAATAAAACACAGTGGTGACCGACAATTCTAATTCAAGATGTAGTATCACAGATACGTCTACAGAACATGACTGAAGAATTCATAATGGGTTGGGTCACAACAAGCATTTCTAGGTACAATAGGGTTGCCAGATCCCGGGGGGGTTGCCTGCTTTAGGGGCACCCAATCTGCCGGTCCGGATCTGGCTGGCGGGGGGAACCCTGCCCCCAAAGTGCTTGGATCGGGCTGACGTGCCTGGCGCAATGACGTCACCCAGACCCAGGGGACGCTCTAGCATTCAGCTGAAAACTCTATGGTATCAGAGAGTTTCTAGCCAAGTGCTAGAGTGTCTCCCTGGTGATGTGCCTAGCATGATGATGTCACTTCCAAGTGATGTCATCATGCTGCACGTCAGACCAGGAGCTTCTCCCTCCCACCGGAGAAAGGTAGGGACCTAGCAATCCTAGGGTACAAGGACTTCCACTTGCAAAGGGCAATTCTCCCACCTAGCCCATCTCTCACTGTTACCCACAAAGTCAAAATTAGGCTTTGTCAACACAATGTTATTTCACGTACAAATTTGCTCTTATTGAGGTGGTTCTGAGACTCATGCTGGTAAGAAGCAGAAAACAAAGATTACTATCCCACAATATGCTGGTGGCAAATCATGTCTATGATTACCTTAGCCATGGAAAGTACAAAATATATATATATACCATCGGCGTGTGACCTAACCTGAGGTAGAACTCAGACTAATAAATTCTAAAGACCAGACCCCTTTGGAATTACAGTGCCAGCGAATCTTTGACTTAATACATACCCAAACATGGCGATTAACAAGTTAACCAGGAGGATGTTGGTGGACAACATGTAGATACACCCTAGTGGGATGGTGACCCACTCTGGGAATCGGGGACGGTTGTTTGAATCCAGTTCTACACACAGAGGTTTTGATTCATTCCCTGTGAAGGTGCAGTGTTCAAAATTGTATGTAGTACCTATCACAGATGGGGGAGAGAGAGAGGGGGGGGGAGAGACTCTTGAAAGTTCAGAAGACTGCAAAGCCTCCTCCACTCTTGTGTACAGCTTGGTCACCAGAACATTCCGTGGTAATCCTGCTTCTGTGAAATTCGGCTTTGCCTTTCATGGCATCAGCCTTGGCTTTTTCAGACAATTCTCATAGTTACTCTCAGGTGCTCAGAGAAGGAAGTATAAAGCAACACAGAGAGGAATTCTATGCATGTTTCACTTAGCAGTAAATCCTATTTTGGCCAAGGGGGCTTGCTCCGAAGAAATGTCCGTAGGATTGCAGCCTTAGCCGCTTTAATACAGAGGTGTCAAACTCATTTGTTACGAAGGCTGGATTTGACATAAATGTCACTTTGTTGGGCTGGGCCATGTGTACCATAAAATGTAACACTAGGTACTGGAGATATAAACCTTATAAAGGACACAGGCAAACGCAATTAACAATATTACTTCTTAACTCTTAATATAAACAAAAGAAATTGATTCCTAGCAGTGAAAGCAACGGATTTACTGGGGAACCCACAAAAGCCCCAATAAATGTTTGGTGTAGTGGTTAAGTGTGTGCACTC